GCGCTTTTTGTATTTATTTTATAAACTCAAATTTCAAGTGCACCTTTTAGGTTGTGTGTGGTCTAGCGTGCTGTAATTAATGTTGGTGGTCTCTGCACATGTCTGTAATCATAGGAAAAAAGAGAAATGTCTCCACCATAATCTGTGCAAAAGTTATTGTATTCCCACTGATGAGAGGAGCTGTACAAGCCACAGGGAGCGATCATTGTTTTCATATTTCACTATTCTTTTGTTTGATCAAACATAATTCACTGTGTTTGGAGCACGTCAGACATATAAAAGGATTACTTATGCACATCAGCTTAAAAACAGAGGAGAATGGCCCTGAAGCACACAGCATAAGGTAAGAGATGACAGCTGTCTGTGCTATCTGGGGCTGCTTATTGATCATAAATGTATTGTTTTCACTTCTGCGCCATGGAAACATCGCGATTCATTCAACAACTGTTTGATATGTGAATATAATTCAGAAAAAAGAATGCTAGAACTGTATGAGCACCGGCAAGAGCTTTCATTTGAGCTATAACTTGTACATGTGTCATATGAAAAATATGAAAATGAACCAATGTTCAATACCCAGCTCGGGTATCCAAAATACTGTGTATTTGAGTGTAAATAACTTTTGTACAGTAAAATAAAAACCAAAGTGATGCATATGTGCATAAAATATAGATTCTACACTTTCAAACGAAACCACTTAAGGGGGTCTGGTGCAACCCTAGCCCTTTACATCTTTAAGCGAAAAGTCGATGACGTCACTGACCCGGTACCAGGTCCGCAGAGTTTAACTGGGTTTTAAGCTTTAAATCATTTCAAGCTGTTTAGTTCACTGGTAACACTTTAAAATAATGGTCCATTAGTTAATGCATTTACAGACAGTTAACAATGCATTTATTGTAATGGATCATTTTTAAGGGGTTTCATTTGGTTTGTGCAAATGTCATAATCCAGCTAAACCAAATCTGCATAAATGTAAACGGACAACTATTAAAGAACAATCAAACTGGCTTAATTATTCATTCATTCATTCATTCATTTGCCTTTGGCTAAGTCTCTATTTCAGTGGCTGCCACCGCGGAATGAACCGCTAACTATTCCAGCATATGTTTACGCAGCAGATGCCCTTCCAGCCGCAACCCAGTAGTAGGAAACACCCAAACACTCTCACATTCACACACACACTCATACACTATGGGCAATTTAATTCATCCAATTCACCTGTGTTTGGACTGTAGAGGAAACCCACATTAACACAGGGAGAACGTGCAAACTCCACACAGAAATGCAAACTGGCCCAGCCAGGACTTGAACCAGCGACTTTCTTGCTGTGATGAGACAGTGTTAACCACTGAGCCGCCAATGCCGCCTTTGCAAAAATCAACATAGACATTTTAACTTCTGTTAAGTGTGTAATGATCAGATGCTCTGATTTTCTGGATGGGCTAGAAAGTGTGAGACGCTTTGCATAAACACAGGAAAGGTTGTTTTTTTTGTTATTGACATTATGAAATATTCATTTGTTAACATGCCATGTGCTTCACACAACCTTGGAGGTTGCATTTATTATAGAAGGGATTGAAATGTAGGCTCTGTCCTCAAGTTAACTTAGTTGTGTCACAAGTGACTCAATATACATCATACACACTCCAAAACATGCATCTGTATCTCTCTCACACATGCTTACACAGATGGATAGATAGATAGATAGATAGATAGATAGATAGATAGATAGATAGATAGATAGATAGATAGATAGATAGATAGATAGATAGATAGATAGATAGATAGATAGATAGATAGATAGATAGATAGATAGATAGATAATAACGAAAAATGGTAACGAAAATAATAATATTGTTACCAACAACAATAATAATAATAATATTCACAATTATTAAAAATAAATAATAATAAATTATTATTATCATTGATATTATTAATAATGACGATAATTATTGTTAATGTTAATTAATGTTATTCTTAATAATAATAAAATTCACAACTATAAAATAATAATAATTATAAACAATTATTATTATTATCATTGATATTATTATGAATAATGATAATAATAATTTTAATCCCAATAATAATATTAATAATATTCACAACTTAAAATAATAAAAAAAATATCATTGACAGTAATATCATTAAAAATGACGATTATAATTATAAAAAAGTATTAATAATTATAATACCACAACTATAATAATATTCACAACTATAAAAAATAAATAGTAATAATAAAAATATTATACACCACCTTCTTCATTTATCATCAGTGATTGTTTTATTTTTATTACCCTTGCAGTTTTTTTTTTAAATTATTAATACTGTTAATACTATAAATAATACTGCTCTCTACTATTGTTATACCCTTGTTGCTATATAGCTCTTTTGCTTATGTACAGTACCTCCACCCCCACACCCAGTTACAATTACTCACACACACACACTTGTTGGCTGCCTTGTGCATTTTGTTGACCTTTTTTCAGTATTTTTGTCACATGTAAATTATTTGTGTATGCAAATTATTTTATATTTTTGGGAAAAAAAGGGTTAATCATTTGCATGAAACACAACCAAACAACCGTCTTCATTTATAGGCTTTCCGCATGTCATTTACACCCTTTCATCTTGTTAAACACATGCACGTCTTTCACCTTGGACTTTTTACCTGGCTTTTTATGCCTTCCCGTTCATCCTCGTAAATTGTCTTTGACAAAATCTAAATGGTATAAAGTGCTATAGAAATAAACTTGACCTTAAGCTTTGACCTTCAGCATTGCCAAGTGTGCCACTCACAAAACCAGTTCAAATGCAGTAAACAACTCAAGTGCACCACAAACCTTCACTACAATTGAAAAGGCAATTAAACATGTGTAAAACCTATTACAAAAAATACAATTAGAAAACAATCGTGTCTCAATGATATTAAAATAACATAGACATATACTATAGCTTACATATATCATACTGTATAGAGCACCAATCAGAATTCAGTATTCCAGACAGCCATGCAAATTACTGTATTGAGTAGTTTTAATTGTTCATTAAGTAATTTAAAAAATTTAAATGTCACTTGAACACATTTTTAGTGCTGTCAGTTGGTATTTGGAGTTTGCATGTTCTCTCCGTGTTGGCGTGGGTTTCCTCCGGGTGCTCCGCGGTGCAAACACATGCACTATAGGGGAATTGGGTAAGCTAAATTGTGTGTTGTGTATGGGTGTGAATGAGAGAGTGTATGGGAGATTCCAAGTACTGGCTTGTTGCTGGAGTTGCATCGGCTGCATAAAACATATGCCGGAATAGTTGGCGGTTCATTCCACTGTGGCGACTCTTGATTATATAAGGGACTAAGCTGAAAGAAAATGAATTAATGAACACTTTAATGTGTATGAGAAACTGTTGTATGACGTATTGCACTGTGTGTGTCACAGTTATGTAAGACCTGAGGGAATCTGACACTTGATCAGCCTTTCATTTTGGTTAACCTTAAAAACGAGCCTGGTTTAAAGATTAGATCTTAACTTTGTTGTCAAGTATTGTTCAAATCTACTGTATAAAGGACATCTAACCATTGAAGAGCACTGAGAAAGAAACTAAAATTAATTCTAACACTAATTTTGAGGAGTTAAAAAACACTTGCCCTAATATTGAGGTTTATAAATGACACTTCATAGAGATATGTTAAATAATACTAATAGGGAAGTAGACTGAGTTTACTGCTATATCTTTTCTGTCTTCTGATTTTTGCAGTATGTGTATATGTAGTTGTGTTATATTACTTTCAGTTAGCATTACACTGAAATAAATTAGGCTCAGGCATGCTGATGTGTTGATGAAAAAACCTGCGGTTAAGTCAAAAATAAAATTGGGGAACTTTTAAACCGATGTTCTTATACATTTATTTGATTATTAATGCATGATTAGTTTGTTATTGCTTTGTTTCTGTGTGTCAACATGGCATAAACATTGACATACAAGTTTATAATAAATGCTATAATCAGTATTTCAAAATAAGAGTTACGAAATTCATAGTTGCACTAAAATCTGACGTAAGTGTTCAAAACAACAAACTAAATGTCTGCTTATTAATGTAGGAGTTAAACATTAATCAGACAATGAATATTATTATTGATAGCCTAAATGTTATTATTTAAGTTAAAGTCCTTTTTTTTTACAAGGGCAATCTGAGGTCAAATATGATTTCATTACAAACAGTGATGTAGAAACAACTATGTATGAGAGCATTTAGATACACGGTTCAAAATACTTCATCATGATTAACAGGGTTATTTATGATTATGATTTGCATTATGGGATATTGCTCTGGTGTATTTTAGTGTTGAAAATGTAGTTTGACCAAGTTTAACCATAACAAAGTGGCTATTTTAGTAGTTTTAATTTATGTATTGTATAAGAATGAATAAAAATCTCAATAAAAAGTCACTTTTTCAAACTTTTCATTAACCAAAGTGGTTGGAGGAAAGATCAAAGTCTCATAATGCAATTCAAAAGGCATAAATAAATGGGAAAAGACTAAACTAAATCACTGAAGTGACCACATATCATCACAGATTTTGTTGCATACATGGTTACTTTACATTTTTAAGTTGAATCAAATTAACCTTTTAAGTCATTGGCTTTCAATACAATACAAAAACAATGTACTTCAAAACAACATTAGCACTATTAAATTGACTGATGTTACACTTTGATAGGCATTTGCTGCTAATTTGATTTCATTATTTATTCCAAAGAATAATTTTCTGCGATTATATTATGAAGGAGAAATTTCGAATGCGTGGATATAAATCCACCTTCATAAAACTCATCATTTTTTTACAGTGTAGGCTATTCTTTAATTGTTATTTATCAAATGCAGTGATTGCAAATGCAGTTTACAGCAGAGGTAACTAAGTTGTATAAAGTTAAAGTCGTCAGTGGAGCTAAATACAGTCCACTGACGTCCTTTACATGACTCGGGTCGCCTCACTTTGTGTTCTAAAGGGCCGCTGATCGGTCTCGCGTTCGAGAAGGGAATCTTCAAAGAACTTCAAAGTTTTCGCGGCGAGGCGTGGACAATTAAAACCCTCCTGAAAGGAGTGTGACGGAGAACTCGCGCTTCCAGAGCAAACAAATCCTCGAAAGCGAAGTTAGGAAAGTCTGTCTCTCGGGAATGGCGATTTTGTGATGATCCGTGCCCCCGGTTTCCCTCTAGATCTGCTGGACTGGAATAGGAACTACCCCCGAAACACACATGGTACAATCCAATGCACCTTTTGATCATTCCAGCAGAAGCAGAGACGGACTGAGAGCAACATTTCGAGGCTCTCGCTGGAGTTGTCCGTACTTGAGCTCAGCCCGCAACCGAGCGGGATCTCAGACAGGGGCTTGAACGATGGTTTTGAAAGAGTTATTAATGTAATTGAGTCGCTCGATACTTCAGAGAAACATTCGCGAAAGAGGATTCTTCACGATGAGGCTCGCTGCGGTGCTTTGTGGCAGCCTTTTAACTTTCACGCTCCTCGCCAAAGGTAGGTGTGATTTTGGAGGTTTATTGGTTTATTCCATGGCTTTAGCTTTGAGAACACATGTAAACACTGAATGGAAATAGCGCTCAAAGCAGTGCGTGTATGTGTGTGTGTGTGTGTGAGCGAGCAGAATTGAAGCGCATGATCTTCAAAGAGTTCACTTACGCAAACAAAACAAAACAAAAAAATCGCGTTACGCAGAAATGCGCGATTTTTATCATGTATAGATTTTGCCTTGAGATTTTAAAGTGGTAGTATTGCTGTTGAGTGTGTGTATAAATAGCCCAGTGTCTCCGATCTGGAGAAATGCCATCGATTATTAGCTGTTTAGTAGTAGTTGGTACTGTCTGTGGTTCACCTTAAACGTGAACGTCTGAGGAGGATAGCTTTTAAAGTAGGCAGTGTTTCGAGAAGAAGTGTTATTAAAAAGACATAATCGCCACTTGTTTGTAAGTCAGTGTATTCGCAACATGTTGGAACAGCCGCTGCACGCGGGCAGGAATGTGGCGACTTCAAAGTGCACTTTCGGCCTTAAAAAAAGAAATGCACTGAATTACGCGGATAAAATCATTGTTGCATCGGTGCAAATGTCGCATGATGGATCGATAGGGCTGCCAATGTCAGCTAGATGTCTTCCCTGGTATATAAGGAAACAAAAGAGTCTTGGATCGATTGCGAAAAACGTGCGTAAATGTTCAATATTCATTGTATGCTTTCCAAACACTTCCACATCTTACATAACACCGCGTTTAATTATATGTATCTGTGTTAGCCGTGCCTTATAGGCAGCGTAAACACGCTTTCTAATCATACACTCTAAAAAATGAAGGGGTTGTTTTAACCTAACATTAGGTCAAGTGTGGACAAACCCAATGTTGGGTATTGAGGTAAACTATTGAGGTAAAGTTGGTTTTATATTCGCACATTTCCTCATTATACATTCCCTATTATCTACCACGCTAATGTGAATATAGGGTCTGCAATCACATGTAAATATGACTTGAAAGCAACATTAGGACTTTGTAATTGACTGAACGATGCTGTACTTTGATATTCATTTACTGCAAATATAATTACACTATTTGGAGTTTGCAATTAATACTTTTCTGAAATGATATTATTAAGGAGAACGTCTGAATGGGGGTCTGAATATAAAACCAACTTCACCTTAACAGGTAAACCTGGTAAGTCACACATTTGGACTTTTTCCTTAATAATAGAATTTCACAAAAATAATATTTGCAAATTCTAAATAATGCAATCATATTAGCAGCAAATGACTATTGAAGTGTATAATGAAGTCAAATAAACAGTGCTAATGTTGTTTGTAAGGATATCAAATCAAGTCATACTTGCATGTGATTTCAGACCGAGAATTCAAAGATAGAGGTAAAGTTGGTTTTGGATATTCAGACATTCTCCTTAATAAAATCATTTCAGAAAAGTATTCTTTAAAAAATTGTAAATAAGAAAATCATATTAGTAGCAAATGACTATCAAAGTACAACATTGTTAGATGGAGGTACTCAGGGCCGGAGTGGGACTCCTTTTCAGCCCTGGAGTTTCAAGCCTCAGACCGGCCCACCTCAGTTCACGACTGACTATATTAAAATAAGGTCATTTCCAAATCAGTTTCTAATGACACTATCACGTCTTTTTTTGAGAAAACAGCTGCTTTAGAACTTCAAATGTTCAACAACCCAACAGTATTATATGTCTTAACAATAAAAATGAAAACAATAAGTTACTCTAACGAGGATTGAACCTGGGTCCGCAGCGTCTTGTTCTAACGTGCTAACCGCTGGAGCACATCAAATAGATGAAAAGAGAAGAGTTGCGGTAAAATAATGAATAAAAAGGCTGTGGTCAAGTAAATAAATTTGAAAAGTGTGACTGCTGAGAGCAACAGATTCTGCAGCTAGGGACACCGGCCCTCGCGGCCAAAAAACGGACCGGCCCACCGGGAATTCTCCCGGTCCTCCCGATTAGCCAATCCGGGCCTGGAGGTACTGTTGTTTAAAAGTCATACTTGCATACTAATTCCGATCGAATTTTCAAAGTATCATGGTAAACAATACAGAGACTGCTAAATGAACGAATGTGCAAATATAAAACCAACATTACCTCTATTATTCAAAGTACCATAGTAAGCAATAGTAGACACTGAAGGAATGTGTGAATACAATACCTCACTCTCAATATTGAGGTGGAGTTGTTTTATATTCACACATATGGACTTTCTCCTAAATCATTTCACAAAAAGATTCTAGTTAATGACCATCAAAGTACAGCATTGTTCATAGTCAAATAAATAGTGCTAATGTAGCTTTCAAGTCATACTTGCATGTGATTGCAGAGCGAATATTCAAAGTACACTAGTAAACGCTATAGGCAGCGTCTCACAAGTAGTCAGTGAACGAATGTGCCAATATAAAACCAACTGTACATCAATCTAAATATTGAGGTGAAGTTGGTTTTATATTCACACATTTGGACTTTCTCCTTAATAATACAAAAATATTAAATGCAAATTTTAAATTATGATATTATATTAGCAGCAAAAGACTATTAAAGTACAGCATTGTTCACAGTCAAATAAACAGTGCTAATGTTGTTTTTAAGTCATACTTGCATGTGGTTTCAGACTGAATATATAAAGTACCATAGTAAACAATATAGGGAGAGTGTCACAAGTAGTCACTGAATGAATGTGCGAATATAAAACCAACAGTACCTCAATGTGTTGGCTTAATTTTTTTTTTGAGTAAATATAAATTACACTTTTTAACCAAACGATGGGTTTGTCCATAGTTGACCCAACATTAGGTTAAAACCAGCCAACATTTAGTACTGAGTGTGTTAGCCATGCCTTATAGTGTGCATTGTCCAATCATACTGAGATGCACTCTAGAATAATGCTGGGTTGTTTTAACTGGATGAATCAAATATGGACAAATCCAATTTTAGGTTAGTTTTGTCCAGATTTGACCCAAACATTGGGTCAAAACTAGCCAATATTTTGTATTAAGTGTGTATATATGTTACTTTGTTAGCCCATGGCCCATGGCTTATAGTGTGCATTGTGTAATCATACTGAGATGCACTGTAAAATAATACTTGGTTGTTTTAAATGGATGGACAAATCCAATGTTGGGTTAATTTTTTTAAGTAAATATAACTGACACGTTTTTTAACCTAAGGTTTGATTATTTATTTATGATTTGGTTATGGGTAGGCCCACCCGCAATCTGCACATGCAGAATTCCACAGATTTTTCCGCAGATTTCGACAGATTTTTTGCCCATCATTAATTCTGTTTATTTACTTGAGTAAATGTGTGTAAATCTATATTTTTTCATTTTTTATTATTATTAATTTCAGTAATATTATTGACTAATGTGAAAATATTAATCTGATTTAAGTGCAATGCAGTTTGTACAGTATTATTTTCTGTCTTTTACTATATATAATTCATAACAAACTTGCTTTATTTACCAAATAAAGTGAATCTAATTGGATTTGCATTTTAAACATTAAATAAAAGTTTAAAAAAATATAATTTTTTTATTTCATATATTAAAGTTAGGGTTAGGGTTAAGTTATGTTAAGTTTAAGTTATGATACTCCCAAAATATTTCTGCAGAAATCCGCAGACTTTTACCAAATTTCTCTGCAGAAATAACAAAAAACATCCGCAGATTCTGTCTGGCCCTAGTTATGGGTAAAACAAAGACCATGCAGGTCAGGTAGTTGAAATGGTAGGCTACAAATAATAATTTTTTCATAAATAATTAATTCACCACCGCCCATGCCATCGTCCATCGCAATGTTTTACATTAGACATTGCACGTTGCTTAATTGGTCGACATCACCCAGCCCTAATAGTGGGCCAAATCAAAGGTTACAATTGGCCAACTTTGGCCTGCGGGCCCTACTTTGGGCATCTCTGGTTTAGAGGCATATCTGAACTTTTTTAAGTAAGGGTTTTTGTGAAGATTTGTCATGGAGAATATTTGGCTTTTCTTTAAATGTTGTTTGTCTTTGCAAAACTTGAATTGTTGACCCCTACATGTGTTAAACACATGCTATTTTCACAATTTTTTTACACACAATTTATAATGAATTTAAGTAAAGTGTCTTCTTTAATGCACCCAATACATGTGAAAATGGGCAAATGTGCATGAATAAAAACGTTACAATATTGGATAAATTCTTTAAATTGTATGTTATGACCTGCACAAATCTATACAGGAATATGTGATCATGCTGAATTTGATTCTGCTTTATATTTTTAAACTCGCTTTGACAAATCATCACCTTAGATTTATAAGGTTCTATCTGACTTTTTTGTCAAAATTGAGTTATTGACATTCTTATTAAATGACAACTTACTTACATTATGGGATGTTCTTTCATAGGTTGTTTACATTTTTAGACTTTTTATTTAAAACAAATGTTACACACATATTGTTTGCTATGGAATGCAAAAACTTTGAAGCTCCATTAATCAAAATCATTTAGAAGGCAGAGAGAACTTTATAATCCCAAGGTGACGAAATGCGTTCACCCTTGTAGTTTGAAGGGCAGTGGAGTTGTCATCAATGTCATTAAATGATTCCTAGTGTAAACATGCCTGCTTTTGCTATTTACACTACTTTACATTTTAGTTTTCTGTAAATCACTGTGAAAAGGTGTTAAAATCAGTATATATTTCTTTTTTATTAGAGAGGACACAATGCAATGTTAAAAATAGCTGTAGTACACTTAATTGTTTGATGCCTGAAATCCCCGTTCCGTCTTTGACCTACATAGGCTGTACTGGAATTGATTTGCCTAATGAGTCTAATTTCAGATTACTTAGGAAACAAATATGAAGATTATCGCACCATTGCTCAAAGCAAACAACACATAAATCACAATCCACAATGTGTGCAACTTTAAAACTTGTTGCTGTATCCCGCTGGATTCACAATTTCACCATTAATCAGACCTTTTGCTTTATA